CACAACTCGCGCAATGTTTATCAAGCAAATCACACACTGAAAATTAAAGAGCCAAATTTCTAGATACCACAAGGGTATTTTCCAAAGATTCATCGACATAACCATCTGCGGCTTGGATACTGCGCCAACCACCATGTCTACGCCATACTCTCCCAGAAACCCCGCTGCGTGCTGCTTGGGAAGCACCACCTGAACGAAGGCTATGTAAACCAAATTCGTTCGAGTCTAAACCAAGTTCGGAAATCATTTGACGAAACTGTTCCCGTGCCCGAGAATATGACAGAGCAGCTTGTCGCAGCTTGTATCCGGCACCCAATTTCTGGCAGAGACAAAATAAAGACTGAGATGGTTGATGCTCTCCGCGCTCAAGGAATAACTCTAACAGTTTCACTGGACAAGAGCTGGAAGGTAAACGAGCAACTTTAACCACAGATCCCTGACGGAATTGATCGTTCTTACGCCTGTCTAGGAAAATAGACATGTGGGTGGCGCAAAACCTTAAGTCACAGGCACGTAAGTCACGCAGCTCTGACCAACGTAGGAAAGCACAAAAACCAAGCGCAACCAGCGACACCATTTGTAGGTTCGGTAGAGAAGCACGAGGGTGACCATAGGAACGAATCAGCGCCCTGACGTGATGAGATTCAATAGGCTGCTTTTTCCTAGATGGACCAGCCAGGAGGCGTTTAAAGCCAGCCAAGGTCTGAGAAACGAGCGGATCGTCGACAGGATTAGGACATCCAAGTTTCTTATGTAGCCATGCAATGCCATAAGCTGCTCCAAGGATTGACGAGCGAGATAAGCCTCGGTCTGAAAGACTTGTTAAGTAGAGGGCAACTGCGGTTGGGTTAGACTGTAAAGGAGGAAACGAGTAACACTTGCACCAGTCAATCCATCGATTGGCTGCCCCTGCATACGAAGACACGGTTGAAGCGGCACAGTCATTAAGGATGACAGTCTTTAACAGTTCCACAAGCCTCTGAATCTCCGCGTTGCTCCGTTGGTAAGGCGACAAGCCTAAAGTGAAAATCAACAATGTCCAAAACATGGCACTTTAAAGACAGGAACAACATCCAATTGCCACAGAACACTAAACGCGCAAGATACACATCGTCTGCAACGAGAACTGCCCACATGGCAAGTTAACACAGCACCAGTACACACTCCAGCACAAGGAGGCTTGGCCCACTCGGCGTCAACTGGTAAGCAAATCCACACAAAGGATAGAGGAGTCCACTTGACTCTAAAAACGAACACACTACTTTGTCGGCAGTGCCCTGTCGCCTTGCTTCAGCTGCACAACTCGTGCGTACTAGTACAGTTCCAAGTCCACTGACTTGCAAAGAGCAAAGGCCCACACCTAGGCCGAAAAGGCTCAGATAGAACAAAAACAAATAATTAGGATGAACAACTCGTTCAAGGTACTCATCTAATACCCGAAAAAACGTTCTACAGCAAAACTAAGGAAACACAATTCTAAAAGCAAATACCCTACACGAGGGAATACCATGCCCGAAAAGATCCGCGGCTGCGGAACCAGGGAGAAAAGTAGATTCATGTAAAGGAATCTCCCGCCAGTCAAGAACAAAAGGGTGGAAAACCCCGGGGCTTCGAGACACCAACGGCCACCAATGAGCAGATTGCCAAAAGGGGATAATGAGAGTGCCCTGCTCTCTACCCAGTTTCATGTGATTGATAACCCTGGGAATAAGGAACACTGGGGGGACCAACCAATTGTTTTCCCCTCCCCAGCTGACGGTAAAAGCATCAACAGTTTCGGTCCCAGGACACCACCATCGAGAACAAAACCTGGGTAACTGGAAAGAATTATGACTCGCAAAACGATCTACAGTGTGGGGTCCCCACAGAATATCCAACTGGCGAAAAAGGACAGTGTTGAGCATCCAATCATCGGTGTCGACAACTTTCGACCAATAATCAGCTTTGAAATTAAAGTGGCGAGGTATCCACTCCGCAGAAAAGCGAATACCGGCTTCATGGCACAAATTGTAAATGGCAACCGCTTCTTTTTGCAAATGAGGCTTACTACTGCCGACGGACAAAATAATGCAGACGCTCTGATTGTCAGATCTATGCTTGCACTCCTTACCCGCCAAAAGACCGGAAAACGACTGAAGAACAAATCTAATTGCACGAATCTCGCGGAAAGAAGAGCTGCATAGGGCCTCCGAACCCAACCAGTTCCCTCTAGCGATGTGCGTACCAAATTGAACAATAAATCCCGCCCAACCCACATTGCTGGCATCCGAATAAGACAAAAGCTCTATCTTCGGGGAGGGCCTCCAGATTGGTTTGCTGCACAAACGAAAGAAATTATCTCTCCAAAAATTAAGTTCCTCTACAGCTTCACGCGTTAAAGCCACCTGGCAGCTAAGGCTATGAACGCTATTAAGGACTGCGTACAAGGCTCGGGTGCGCAAACGCACAATTGGACCTAAAGCGAGCTCCATGGAAATAAGGGTACCCGTAATACGAGACACATCCCTAGCCGTGGGTGAAACATCGTCAAGAAGCAGTGAAATCAGAATAAACAGGTGATCAATCTTGCCTGGTGGGATACTAAATTCTCCTTTGGTAAGGTCCAAAATAAAGCCTAAGTGCTCCCCTTTTTGGCGCGGTTCAAAATTGCTCTTCTCCTCATTCACTAGCAGGCCAAGGCGATCAAGATCGCCTCGCACTAGTTGCGCTTCCTGAGAACACGAATCTTTACTTGAATCGGTGCCGATACCGTCGTCCAAATAGACGGAAATCCTAATGCCTTGTGACCGCCAGTGTGAAACAACTGGTCTTAACAATTTGGTGAAAACGTAAGGAGACGTACTTAAACCAAAAGGAAGCGAACAAAACAAAAAATAGCGTGGCTTACCATCGAAAGTAAACGAAAAAGCCAAATACTTCCAATGCTCTTGAAAAATGTCAACATGATGGTAGCCATTACGAAGATCGAAAGTAAAAAACCAATCACCTGGCTGAAGAATTTCCGCCACGACTCGAAGGTCTTCGAACTTAAACTTACGCTTGGCTAGGTGCTTGTTAAGAAAGCGAAGGTCGAGAATCAATCGAAGTTTGCCATTCTTTTTAGGAACTACACCTAAAGGACTGCAAACATGAACTTGGTCACGCTTGACTTCCACCGCGCTACCCGCCAACAACAATTGCTCGATAGCTTCACAAACAAAAGCTCTATTATCAACAGCGCTTTTATGATTACTAAAGAAATACCTCAATGGAAATGAAACAAATGGTAACTTATAACCGCTTTCAATAACACTAAGAACAAAAGAAGAGGCCCCAATAGAACGCCAAACATGCAAAAACTTGCGCAAGCGGCCTCGAATCCAAAATACTGAGGAAACGCCCGTGTCAAGTTCAGCCTCGCCGCGATCCGAAAATTCGTCAAAATCAGAGTCAGCTAGTCACTTAGCGGAAGAGGAAACTTTACAATCCTTGATAAAATGGCCTGCCTTGCCACAAACAAAGCAGCGATAAACAGAAGCTTTTTTCTCCGGTACAGGATTAACCAAAAGCTGACCGACATCTGGTCGGAAATCCACGATTCTATGTGATGGGCCAAAACTAGCACTGGGGCCGCTTTTGGAAGAGGTAGACTGAGACTTAAAACGAGTTCCCATTTTGCTTCTCAGACTATTTTTTCGATTTCGTTTCTCCCGAGACCTCTCTGCTTCCTTGCGCGCGACACGAAGTTTCTTTTCTTCTTCGTCATTTTTAGTGAGTGGGTCCGCCTCAAAATATTCTACCACGTCCCAGCCATCCCGGTCAGCAATAGAAATAAGCTTATTTCTGTTATCAAGGAGTGACATACCTTCGTTGGCAATCTTAGTGATGGCGTCATCCGCCCCAGCCCTCTCTAAAATCTGGTTGAACTTATCCTTGACGTCAGTGTTGAACTTGAACTGTTTCTTGTTACTCTTATATTTGAACTCGGGCTCCTCCTCCGCAGACTTGCGTTTTAATGAGTCGAGCTGTTCTTTGACAACCTTGACCTCTTGCGTTTTCGTCTCCAAGGCCTTTAAGATTTCCTTCGCCCACGTTGGGGGCTCAGGGCTGCGAGAAGCCGAGCGACTTCTACGGTGCGAACGCTCGCGGACACTCCTTCGCGAAGGCGAAGCACTACGACCAGAACCGCTTGAAGCTGCAACATGTGAGCGAGAACTACGACGGCCTGAACTTCGATGTTCTCTTGACCTGGACGGCCGGACAACAGGGTCTTCAATGTCCGCGTTGACTCTCGAAACATGAGAACGAACTGAAGCAGGGCGACCACGACGGCCCCGCGCCATATGGACGAGATAGGAAGAACGAGCTAAGAATTTAACTGTCCGCTTGTAGAAATCCACAATGAAACTTGTTTACTGTTCAGCGAATATATACTTGCTAGTTTACATATCACACTTTCTTCCCATAATCTCACGCCGGCACTTAAAACACACTGCCGGCAAATGCACTTGTGCTTGGGAATTCAAGAAACCATTTATCTTTTGTTTCATTACGCTTCGCTACATTCAGGCAGAGATAAATGAACAATTTATTTAATGACGTGGTAGTGAAGCCATATTAATGTCACATTTTTCTTCTTTCTATGTATCTTGACTCGCGCTTTCTCGTAGTCATTCGTGGACACCCGCCAGTACAATCTCTTTCCCAGAAAGAGTCGGACTTCATGGCAAAATCGGAAGATGAGCCAACATTAATCGTAGCGGTTAATCTCGTACGAACGCGTGTGTAGAATCAAACCGAAACAAGGATTTTCTGGTTTCGTTTTTTTCTATTTCGACCAAAACTTAGGGCGTTTGGTCACCGTTGGCTGAAAACGCGCAAGCTTTGGGGAAGAGATTGTTACCGGTACTTTTCTGCTGATCCTTTCCTTTTAAAAATGACATGAGCTTTCTTATTCTAGAAGGTAACTGATCTTTTGGTCGTTATTTCTTTTTTGAAGCTACACAGAGTGGTGCGATACAATGGTGTCTCCTCTTGGCTTTGGAATGCTGTCCTTCGTCTTTGTGGCACTTCTCACTTTTCCAAGTTTCACTGTGCAGGCCTGCATTGACAGCAGTGCTTTTGGGAACAGAATGTCTCAATCAGGATATGCAACATGTCACTTTTTAGACTACGAAGAACACAACCTTTTATACATAACTGGATTTCAAAGGGAGATGGGCTCTCACAATGATCTGAAAGGCATAAAGAAAGCCAAATGCTGTCAGCCTCCCGACCTACATCAAGGTAAACCCCACACATGTACATCGGCTGACTGGGAGTTGAGCTTTTCGAGGTATGTTGTCCAGAAATATCAGCACTTTTTATCATTGTCAAAAAGTGTTTACTTCTTTGTGGTGTTATTTGTCATTTTTTTTTCTAAAATTGCCTCGCTGGTAAATTGGTGAACACCACATAATTGTACTTTCGAAGTAGCATTTACTCGAATGGTGAAAAAATAACTTCAGGAATTGATGGCCGCCCGTTAACGTTTCTTCATGTTTGTTAGCCCTGACAAGACTGAGTTAAAAGATGAAAATTAAAATTAAAAAAAAGCAGGAAAAGTGGACCAACAAACTTAACGACGTAACTGGCCCCAATTATACATGCCGATAACTTTTCTCGAGTTCTCCAATCATTAATACTGCTATCCAATTCGGATCAGGGGAGTGCAATTAAGGGTGAAACTAGCGCAAATATCGTAAATAATTTTTTTTTTCAGGCATCTCAGCGGTGCAGAATCCTGAATCCTAGAATTGGATTGGCTAATTACGTGAGGCAGTCTTTGACGGGACCAGGAGTTACGTTAGCTGGTTGCAACAAATAATGTAGTAAATAAGCAACCATTGAATCAAGTGGTTGTCGTTATACTTTGTGGTCTTCCTCTCAGAAGGTACTTAACAAGGTTTTCTTTTTCAGAGAAGGCTGGGCCACATGTCCATCCGGGCATTTTCTTAATGGGTTCCACAGAGGAGGAAGTAATCAGTTGAAAAGTATCCAGTGGGCGCAATGTTGTAAACCTGCACTACAGCCCCACTGGTACAAAGAGTGCAAAGATCAAGATGTTGGTTCTGGTGATACATGGAAATGTAACGATGAAGGATTCTATGTAGTTGGATTACACAGAGGTACACCTGAGGCGCTTTCTAGCATCAACGAGCTTAGATGCTGCAGCATGTATGATGGTGAGTAATTGTCTCCGAACGGGAAGAGAGGGAAATTGGATAAGACTAAGCAGTGGTGCTCCGCAGGGGCTGGGAAACCTTGCGCCGTGTAATGTTAAACAAAAACACAAATTTGCTACCCCATCTCCGACCATAGAGTTAAGTTGTACACCCGTCTCAGACTGGAAGTGGGAGTATATTTTTATTTATTACCGTTTTCCATATTACTACAAAATGTCTTATTGCTTTCACACATTTCATTAAAACCTAATTGAGATAGGCCAGGAGTTGTGAATCATCTCTACGACGTAGTTAAGTTTAATCTGTGTTTTCCATAAGCAGAATAAAGGAAATACACTCGCTTTCAGTGTTACTTGCATAGACGACATCTTTGGACCGTCTTTCGACATGCCATCTCTCGACATGCTATGTAAACAGCTGAAAGACCGTTTAACTGTGAAACTGGCAATTTTTCAAATGGCTGAAGAAGATTGTGGACTGCATCTTTCCCGATTTACGGGATAAATAAAACGATTCGAGTGTAGCCGATCGGCTTTCAATAGTGACTTCCGGTAGAATTGAACCGCTACCGCCTTTAATATTCGAAAGATGTAAACATTCAAAACAGTCGATTTGTCTCTCACAGAATGACCTCTTGATACTCCTAGCCTTATTCTGATGTCGAATAAATCCATCTTTCCTGACTGAAGGTCGAGTTCGACCTTGAAGAAGTCCGTTGTGCTTACATTTTTGACGTAGGCCAGGTTACATAGCATGTCGAGAGATGACATGTCGAAAGATGTCACCTATGCACGTAACACTGAAAGCGGGTGTAAGTTGCAAATGTTTTCCGTTGTGCGTGGTCAGACCTATACGGGTTCGTCGTGGAGTGATCTGCCTATAAGCTGTAGCGCATCCTATTACCACTTTCGCAGAGGTTCACACTAGGAACAGATGAAATACACTATTTTTGCATTGAAAATTATTTATTGTAAAAAGTAGTCTTTTTCATTGCGTTTTATTTGAAGCTGGTAAGTTGCGCTCAAAAATGTAAATCTTGGCAAAACCTAATAACTTGTGCTGCTAATGCTTACTTTATGCGGTGCCATGAATCTGCATGTACATGTATCAGTCTGTTCCCATGCTTAAAACTGTGAGAACCTCAATATTGCTTTTCCTTGCAGAGATCCTACCACTGAAGTCGGGAGATGAAGTGAAGACGAGAACGATGGACATGACACTTGATAACTTGGCTCTTTTGGCATCTTACTTGGGATATGGTTGGTCGAAAGGATGCAGAGGTCAGCATAATGGCCAAGATTTTATAAGAGACGGTGACAGCTGGAGGTCTCACTACCAACGCGGATGCAGTGGAGAGAAGGCAAAGGAACGTCTGAAGATCTTTTACGAGAACTTTTCTTTTAAAGTAAAGAACATCGACTACGAGGAGCCAGAAATTCAGTCAATCAAGCCTATAGTACAGGATGTTGGAGAGATTAACAACCAAGATTCGACTTCAACCCAAACAAGTATTTCACGAGAAATAAAGTCTGTTCGTACCGTCACCCATTCTTCTACCACTAGGTTTAAGTCCACCTTCGGAGCTTCAGTAACGCTCAGTTACACGTCTCCCGGAACGTTCGGCTTAGCTGCTGGAACTTTCAAAGCGTCCGTAACCTTGTCTGGAGGAAGAGAAAGTGCTGGACTGAACACAGATGAAGACGGTGAGATCAAGTGGGACATCGTCAAAGTGAAAGAAACGCAGACAACAGATGGCAATTCAGGATCATCATACCAGATAACCACCTCCAACAAGCAAGTGAACGTACCTTACAAAGCCACCATTCAAGTCCAGTTCAAGGTCAAATTTGAAGGCTTCCTGGAAAAGAAAAACTTCCACGAGACGCACAAAGGTAAAAGCAACCGACCTTCCTTTGAATACACATTCGGCTCAGAGAGCGTTCCCTTTTACACGTTCTTGAAGCAGGTCAGTGAGCGAGGTGACAGTCCTTGGCTGTGGAGTGAGATGATGCATGGACAGGACGAGGAGGTGAATAAGTACGTTCAGGAGGTAATCGACATACTGACCGACGAAAGCCTCTACGAGTTCGAGCTCCATGGCACGTTTCATGACGTGGCAGGCTTGGATTTCAATGTGCAGTGGGATGATAAACCAGTTGCAAATGTCCCAGGTGCAAATGCAACGCTTGCTGTATGAGCAAGTGAAGAAAGCAAATTATTATGATTTTGCTTGTAATGCTCTGCTATCACATTAAAAGCGGGACATAAAAAAAATGAAAGTTGGTTGTACTTTATGATATAACAGTAAACATCAAATGACACGTTTTGCGAAATGCACTCATTCTTGTTGAAATAGCACTTTCTTGTTTTGATTCACGACTGAATGAAAATCCAACACCAGAAAATCCAAAAAAGTCCACTTGTAACGTTCACAAACCCATTATACAAGAGGAATGGTAAAATAAGAACGTTCTAGCCAAGTGTCAAATACTCTAGAAAAGCCCATATACCTCTTCCACGCACGCAAACAGAGGTAAAAAAAAAAATCAGTAGATCTTCACCGTTAAGATTGGAAAACTGAATTAAACCTCAGAAGTATATTGATATTGCCATGGCAACCGTATATTCATGTACAGGCTCAGACAAATTTCTTCTTTTTTGACAGGATTCTTCCTTTTAATTTCCAGTTTTCTTGGACAGCGTTGCAGAATCTTTTTTCCGCATATTCCATTATGATTTTGGATTAAGACTCCATCAAATAACGTTATTTTCTGGCTTTCTGATCTAATAACGAAATTCAAGATAGCAAATTCGTCACGTAACGAGTATCATATGACGCAAAATAATTTTAACGTGTCTTATTGGAACAAAACTCTAACAGGGTTTCAAACCGTGTCGTCCACCTTGTACAATGGTGGAGTTTAGATTTGTTTGTTTGCCAGAGGATTAAATAGAATACGAGAACGCTGGAAAATTAGCTTGTAAATCAGTGTAACTTACTTATCTTACACTTGGGTCATATGGATTAACAAAACCTCAATCGGTCATTTTCGATATATTAAAACTCTAACTTGGCTCCGAAGCTTGGGGGAATAAAACAGAAGAAACCACATCGAGGTTGAGGGATGAATAATTAATATATTTCTTTTGTTTTATTCCCCCAAGCCTCAGAGCTAAGTTGGAAGTTTAATGCATCGAAATTGGCCTATTGCATGATCCTCAGTAACCGTGAAAAAAACACCATACTTCAAAAAAAAAAAAAAAAAAAAATTCTCATTCCTTAGCTGTAAATGCTTGCCCTGGGAGCTAATCAACAGCAGAATCTACTGAGCTCTGGTTCCAGCAGAGGTTCAGATACGATGCAGAACATATCAAAGCAATGGAAAAAAAAAAAAGCAGAACAAACAGACAAACAAAGCCAAGCGACCGTTCAAGGACTAAAGCAATGAATGTCATGTTTTTGAAAATAAGGGTAGAAACAGGAGTAGAAATTTTCCTGTCTCTGTACTTAAGACGATTTCCGAGCTTATGCGATTCAAACAGAGTTCGTTGAGAGTACATTTTACTTTCATGCTCATAATAAGGCAAACTGTAGTCACTTTCATATGAAAGAGGGAAGATTGGATTCCTTTTGAAGTAGACCCAAAAGAGGACTTAGAAATGCCAATGACCAACCATTCCCCCTTTAAAAAGATATTTTCTTGCCGTGCTTTAGGTTTTGTAATTTTTAAGATGATATTTTCATAAGCACTGACAATAATTTTCTTCTCAAACCAATCACTATCTCTCCCTTTACATTGTTAGACGAATGGATCGCGTTACTAACTTTTCCATTCAGACACACTCAGTAAGAGTGTGCGCAAACATTTGACGTAATGATCGCACGGACAAAGAGAATTTACAGAAGGACGTATGAGTCTCAGCCATGCGTACGTACGTATATATATTTACTCGGTCCTCACTGCCATGACCTTGGGCCAATATTCCCCAGTACAGCCCTCGCACTCCACTAGTAAGAGGTTATTATTATATGGGAAATTGGTCCACGACGAAAAAGAGAATTCTGATTGGTTCCCTGAGCGGTCCGAATTTGCAATACGGACCGCTTAGATGGACCGCTCAGAAATAATTTCGGTAAGTTGCTTTTCCAAAACATTGCACAAAATTGCAAGTAGAAAATATATATTCCTTTATGTCTGGGGGATAATTTCAGTCAAACTTTCACGAAAGCGGCCTGAAAAATGCAACTATATGCTTAACTTTGGCTTGCGCCTAGCGAGAATTGATGCATTAATTTATCAGCAGAATATTACAAGAGCCATTATAATAAATACTTTATTGAACTAGCCGTTGTTCGGTCCGTATTGTGCTAATTATGGACCTTGTCTGCGGCTCGGTCCATAAATTTGCAAAAATTTAATTCGACCAGTATTTCCCCTATACGGACCTCATGCTAGTTCAATAACATATACTTATTATACACCTGCGTAATTGACAGGATTTCGCGCGCTGGTGCTCTGTTTCGGCGGAGGAGCCGCTGACGCCAGGGGCTTAGGCCGCGGAGGAAAATTATCGTCTGCCTCATTTTTTATAGTTTTTGAATATCGCCCAGTTTTGCCAGCTATGTTCATTCAATTAAATCAGTCAATCACAGAGAAACCTGTAACATGAAACTTGCGATTGTTTGGGAGTCTCAATGCGAACCAAGCAACTTTATAATTAACAGGACTTATCCAACCAGCCCAGATAAACAAACCTATTTCTATAGAAAAATTATCGATTGAATGAATGGCCGATTGAAGTCTAGCTGTTAAAAATTAAAACGCTAATTGCTTAAATGCTGCAAACCTATCAAACTATTCTTGCATACATTGAATGCTAAATACTTCCGAGTTTACTGAGTTTAAGGAGAAGCAGAAGGCTGTCTTTCATGTCTATCAGTCGTGATTCGACCGCGGCCTTCAAAGATTTTAGAATAGACACAGAATTTTACCAATAATTAAGTAGACAAACACCACTCCATTCTCCTTTAATTACTTTGTGTTGATAGTCAGTACATTTATTCTAGAAAACACTCAAAGAGCTAGAATTTAACTCCACAACATCTATCAGTGCCTTAATCACTATACTGCTTGACAGGAGGAGGCTTTATCTCTTTACTGTTGTCGATGGTCTTCACCTTAGGTGCTGGAGGATGAACGCGAGGGAACGTGATAGGCTCAGCTTCTCCGCCATCATCGTCGTTAAACTGCTTAACAGGAGGGATCTTCGTCTCCTTACTGTTGTCAATGGTCTTGACGTTTGGTGGCGGAGGACGGATACGTGGAAACTCCGGAAACTTTTCTCCCTGGTCAGCCATTAAAGTTAAATTTGTAATTGCGTCTTCCATTTCGCCGATGGGTCGTGATGGATACCAATAGGACTTTATCTCGTTTTCTGTGGTTTCTTCAAACTGACCTGCCATAGTGAATGCATAGAGATCTTTATTTGTTAGCTGATCGATGAAGTAGTTTGCATATGGGTAATTCTGCTTCATAGCATGCCATTGCCAAGGTAACATGTTTTGCTCAATCTGGTTTTTGAGGTCTTCGTAGAACGGTATCTCAGCAGTTCCAAAAGAGTGCTCTACATTTCTACGATCACCAGAGCCACGATGATCCTGATGAAAATTGGTAGTAGCTCCATGATAACCGCCTCCCCATTTCATGTAGCCTTCCAGTTTAACGGTGAATGAAGGCACGATGGTAGCTGTGTAAGGAAGGGTTACTTTTTCGGGCTTTTTGAATGCATGCCATTCTGCAAATGTTTTCGGTGGAAGTTGTTTCTTGTCAGTCACCGTTAGAATATGCCAGTCTTCGTTGACAGTGGTATCTTCCTCATCTCCTCCCCATTCATAATTGAAATTGGTTTTTGCCGCAAAGCCCACACCTCCTGTTGCATATGGTGGCTCGTACTCAACGCCAACTTCAATTCCAAATTTGGAATCCCAGCCTGGTTCTCTGGACATTTTTGAGGGTACTCGCAACACGCATTTCAATCCCCACTTCGGAAGAATAACCCGGATTGTTCTTTCTGTTGGAAGCGACTTTGCTGTAGCCTCTGTCCGGGGAATTCAACAACTGTTGTTCCTGAGACACGGGAATTGACTGCTTAACAGACTCTCCGAATGTCACATCTTTCATGGTGTAGGCGAAATTCTCGTACGTGATCTTAAGGCGAACGTCTTTCTTGGGTCCGTTCCCGAGGCACCAGTTCGATCTGTACTTCGATTCCCAAGTGTCACCTCTCCGGCGAAAATCTTCGCCAGCGTATTTAGACCAGCATCCACCAGACCATGCAAATCCCATCATGTTGGCTAGTTGTCCAATGTAAAACAAGGTAGAATCCATAACGCGCTGCTTTAGTCCGTCCAGGTTCTCAAGTTGGGGAATTTCTAGAAAAAAGCAATGCATCAGTTACTCCCATTTGTCATCATAATCAATGTAAGTATGTAATGTGTGACATTTAATTAACGTTTGTCTTGTAACTTCATTTTACGAGATCAGATGGGTTGATGGGAGCGACTGGAACGGCTTGAAAACCTTACAAAGTATCTAATTTTTCATATCTAATTTTAGCCCGAATTGTTAACTGGTACTTGATTTTCAAGAAGGCTTCTTACGTTTGCCTGAACATTTGAGAAAGGATTTAAATTACCTCTAGTTAACGGCGGAAATAATTCCCTTAACAGCTGAATCCGGCAACGGTTGTGGACAAGAATAGGAAAAAATGTTCGAGACATATTTCAGCGTTAAGAGGGAATACCAGTAAAATCGAAAGAAATCGTGGCCGTGGTAAAAAACAACAACAACAACAACAAAAAAGCAAAAAGAAAAACAACAACAAACAAAAAATAAACAAAACAAAACAAAACAGGCACGAAAACAAAACCAAAATTATAAACGAAAGAATTTTAATCACACTCTGTCTGTCTCTAGGCTTAGCTAATGAACATATGGTCATTGAGTTAGGTTTTATTTGAAGTGTTGAATTCAATATCAAGACAGAAAAACGAACATTGTACGGGAAGCAAGAAGCCCAGTTTTCGATTCGACAAAACCTATACATTGTACGTGTTTTGGCATCTGACTACACAGACTTTGACATCGCTGTGAATCTCGCTCAACTTTAATTGCAAGCTCCAAACCTTTTTCAGTCAAGATATGGCAGTATTTTAGTTTGTGCAGTGAGTTCATCATGAGCAACTTTACGCCGGAATAATTAGATACACTTCCCATAACTGAGTAAAAGTTTGAAAATAAGACCAATTTTAGCGGGACAAAAAGCGGACAGGGGAAGCTTCAAATCGTCAAAGCTAAGTCAGTACGGTTTTATATTTGCATAATTTAGAAGAAGTTTAGCATGAACACTAATCAAAGATCCATAAAATCACACTTGGGTCTTAATTTGTGTCACGCACGAACAACTTTAACATAATTTAAAATCAGCTGACTCAAAATAAGTACTTTTTTAACCCTCGGACGTACCCGCAAACTCATACCCCTGCCGTGGTGCAAGGGGAAGGGTGTGTGGATGAAACCCCATATTAAAATTGCTTTGGGTTTCATAGATAGCCCTCGGGTGCTCTACAAGATTATGAATTTTTCCTGATCATGATTTCATATGATTGACATGGCGTCCGCTATCTTAGATCCGCCATCTTGAATCCACTATGAATTACATTGCCAGCCCAAAATCCCATACAAGCGCGCGGACGATTATATGTTAATTTCGCAAACTGTCCAAATTAATTCTTAATTTGGATACGTGTCCAAATTAACAAGTAATTTGGACAGTTCCGTGCGCAATGTAATTAATAAGTAAGAGAACTACACACTTGTCCAATCTGGAAATAATTGGATTCAAAAAATTCCTCTCACAGCCAAATTGGACTCGGCCTACGGCCTCGTCCAATTTTGGCTGTCCTCGAATTTTTTTTCATCCAATTATTTCCAAATTGGACGGCATGTAGTCCTATTACATATACTAATTTTCTCAGAAAGTCTAAAAATAACGTTTATTCTGCAATGCTACGAAAGAAAAGTAGAAAAAGTACGAATTCTGTTAAAGAGCACAATTTTAGTATGACTTGTATGCGGTTGCCATGGTAACGTCAAATTACGACCAGAAACAGAAAACACATCAAATTTTGGCGATGACGAGGGATAAATAGAAAGCCACTGAAAGTCTCAGCATCACAGAGAATAAAACCTCTATTCACAATTTTGAATAAAACCTCTGGGGATAGCATCCACCCCCTCTCCACCTTGTACGCAAGAGGTTAAAATATCCGAGTTGATGACGTGTGAGATCCTGTTTCGATCTTCTTCATAAACGTGCTGAAGAGATTAAATTTCCCAAAAGCATTTCCTTACATGCTAGAAACTAATTCATGTCGTCGTAAACTGACCACAAAAACTGTTTCCAAGCAAACTATAACCTAAAGTCTGGTTTGCAGATGCTTATTTTAAATTGTTTTGCATTCATGGTAATCAGAGAATTTATGTTTTCTTAAAAGGGTTAGGCTCTCTAAAAACTCACCATTCCACATTTTGCAACATTTAAATTTCTTGATGCTGGACAATCTGCCTCCTGATTCCCACGTTTCAAACCCGGCGATGAAATATCCTTCTCTCGTACACTCACTGAGACCAGCTTTGTTAAAAGTATTGCTTACGTCTTCGTTATAGCAATCTCCCCAGTTATATGGATGGTGAGATGGCTTGCAACATTTTCCCCACTCAATACTGCCGACTTGGTTGCCGCTTCCGCGATACAAACCTCTCAGAAAGAAGCCTACCTGGCATGAATGAAAAGTTCTCGTAAACGACCTTCAGACGACTTGTTGACATGTAACCTCCGCATCCTTTCTGGTAGTGGGCTTTCCAGGAGTCTCCTTCTCGCAGGAAGTCCTGTCCAGCACGTCTGCCTCGGCAACCACCAGCCCAACCATAACCAAGATAATTAGCCAACAAGGCTAAGTTATCAAGTGTCAAGTCCATTACTCGCGTCTTGACCTCTAGCACTGATGTGAGAGGAAGCTTCTCTGCAAAGGACGTCCAGTGTCAGAATTTAATCTACAAATCTTTAATGCAAGATTATAACATGACGAAATCAGCAGAAAATTTCTAATCTACTTTACATTGAATGACTTTTAATCAGCTCGGTGATCACGACTTTTGAGCACAGCTGCTTAAGACATAAAATAGGAACTGTTTTATTGATTCGAATAATAACATTTTAGTACTATAATTCTGGAAATAAGGTAAACACTAAGTCTTCTGAGAAAAATGAAGACAGGTTTTTGGCATGTCTGCGAACTTTTTAAAAAATATATTTCAAAAGGAACTATTTTTACTGAGCTTGTGTTGGCCATTTGTCTTTTATCGCTATTCTTACATTACAGCAACTAATTTTTCAGGGTTGTAAATCACAAATGGATTTCATCCTGGGTTTTATCGTTTTAACTTACTTGGCGAAATTTGCGTTTTAACTCTCCTTGCGGTTTCTAACTTGGTGCCTAATTTGATTCTTCAGAGCCAGCAGCAATAAATTTTCAAATGAAAGTGTCACTACACATTTAAAGGAGCATTGTCACGAGTTATGAATCTTTTTTTGCGAAGTACAAAATCACCTTTAAATTGAAAGAAACATCAAAATAATACGTTGCTAAGTGAGAAAAACACCAACGAGGTAGTAATAAAACAAAACGGAATTAAGGCCCCGTCCACACTACGCCGGAGGAATTTGAAAACGGAGGTTTCACCCTGAAAACGCGTCAAATGTTTTCCGTCCACACTAAGCCGGAGGAATTTGAAAACGCAACAATGACTGGTCATTTTGGATTTGTGCTTGAGGAAAACTCGGTCAGGGAAATCACATGATTATCATGACGCCATCGTTTTCGAAAAGCTCCGTTTTCAAAATGTTTTCCGTCCACACGAAAACGAAAACCCGGCGTTTTCAAATTCCTCCGGTTTGACGAGCGTTTTCGAAAAGCTCCGTTTTCGTGACGGATAAGTGTGGACGGTAGGCCTAACCGTAGAAATAAAGTTGCGTTTTCAAATTCCTCCGGCGTAGTGTGGACGGGGCCTAACACGGATTACAAACGACGAACTTGAAAAATTTAGGCTTTTTTTTTCAAGATGTACGAACCGTGACGTAGCTCCTTTAAGCAGTCGGTAATAACAATAAAGAACTCACTAAATACACTACACAGGTTATGCTGTCCTGATATACAGCCAAGCTCACAGACGGAGGAAAGAAAATGGAAGGAAATATGGCATATCTCCCAGTAAGCTGGATCAATGTTTGGGTGTGGGACAAGAATATGTTAAAACAACTGAGATAAAGCTTACTCTCTCTGGATTAAATTTGATGTTATTCCTAAGAAGCATAGATGACCACGTTTCTCGGGTTTCCCAGACCATTAAGTGTCGGTGAGACCCATTTATATCCCTGGCTAAGAAAAGGCACTGTGACAGTTATCCCTCCTACCCGTGAACAGAACACTAAACCATGGTCAGGGACAACGGATTCAAAAACGCGCAACCATCAACGTAACAATCCTCGCACAGGAAGATATAAACACATACCATCATACATGTTGCAGCATCTGAGCTGGTTGATGCTGGAAAGCGCATGAGAAGCACCACGGTGGATACCAACCACGTCGAAATTGTTTCTGCTGCATTCCATGGTGTCACCTGATACATTTTGATCATAACAATCTTTATACCAGTGTGGGTGAAGAGCAGGCTTACAACAGGTGGCCCACTGAATGCTGTTCAGCTGGTGTCCTCCTCCACGGTGGAGTCCTCGAATAAAATGGCCCGATGGACAAGTGGCCCAGCAAGTGGCCTAAAATGCAAAATGGTCAATCGTTTTGAGCTCTCCTTTGACGGCTGTGCCTTCCCTGGCCGGCTATATCAATCCAATTTGGACATGTAAGTTAAGTAAAATTTTGCC